ACAGAGATTTGCAAACGGCTGGCGAAGTAATTAGCGGAGTTGAAAATTGTCGCGAGGCAGGAGCGTCTAACGCGAGTACAAAATTTACTCACTGGCGACGAATCACGTGGAACTAACGCGTTCGACGGGCGAATTTACGTCGTTATCCAGCTGCGCTTCCGGTGGAAGTTGATCTTCCGCTTTTACATGATAATTGGCGCACTCGCGAAGCCAAGTTTACGACGACTTTATCGGTTGTTCGACGCGTACATGTCACCGCTAATTCCTTTCGATCTGACGAGGTTACGTTCCCGGCTCCGTCTACGGCAATTTCTAAAGTAATCAAAAGCCCCTGGTACCCCGGCCCTGTATATTATTTGCAGTAGGCTTGCAAGCATCTTATCTCGAATGCATCGAGAATGTAACTTTCTCTATCAGCGGCTCGTAAAATTCTGTCGAAGTTTACTTAAGTATCTGCGTAATGCACTTAAGTCAAACTATCAGCGAAGCTGCGGAAGTATAATGTTTGTGTTTTCGTGATGCAGAGATTCTTTCCAGAGGGAGAAGACTTTGATAAAATTGTTCGTTAGTTGACAAATTCTCGCTCGATAGTATCTAGTTTTCTGCAGGATATTTCGAATCTCGTGCACAAAAATAAAAGATGTCAATGAGAAAGATTTCTTGGAGGACACGTTCATAACTTATCTAGTACGTCTGATCAAAGAAGCGGAAGCCATTAACTCTGCGTATTAGAAGGGAGACTAAATTACGCCACAATTGAAGAAACTTTTTATAGATTCGCTAGAGATTTCTAGATCTGCAGACACGTTATACTTTTTAATCTTTCCTCTAACTCGAGCTTCTCGAACAGATTGTTATGTTTCTAATATCCAGCTATAAGATTGATTCACCCACACATTGTGTCTCATCGTAGAAAAAAAAGCATCTAATATACTTGGCATGCTTATTAGTGCTTCTTTTTATCGTCCTCCCTCGCCCTCCCTCTTTTTATTTCGAAACAGATCGACGATGCGCGGCACCGACATTTTCATTTCCGGCGAGACGTCGTTGGCCAGCAGCGTAAAGATAATGCATCGATTCCATTCCGCCGTGTACTCGGTTGCACGTGCACGGCCATAAAACAATTCCTACGCATTTTTATTGGCAAAACACGGCCCCGGTCACGGGGATGCCCCTATCGGGAAAACTATAACTCGTATCCTTGCGGCTGGCGCGAGGTACGGCCGGCTAAGAGGGTTAGGCGAATCGAATGGGACGCCTCGACTGTCTCTCAGAGAGAACGAGAAACAGAGAAAGAGAGAGAAGGCTACGAAGGGAGAATAAAATGGAATAGAGACGGATAAAAGCGTTGGTGGAGAACGGCGGAGCAAGGAGAGCAAGAGGGAGGAAGACCACTTAACAAACTGCTGAACTCACACCCCGCGGGATTTTATTTCTACTTAAATGGAGTTGCCGAGATACGCATTCGATACGGATTCTTGCCGGATGTCTTTGGTCGCGAATCTATTTGTACCGTTTGTTACCGTTCGCTCTATCTTTCCCATCCACGTACGTTCCACCTTTGCCTCTCCTTCGTTTTGTTCCCTCCCGGTTGTTTTTTTTTTTTTTTTTTTTTT